TATACAAATATTTATAAGGCTTTAGATCTTTCAGATGAGGAATTTGCTACACTTGTAGATGCAAAAGCCTTAATTAAAATAAATGCTCTAACAATTTATAATGCTTATCAACTTGCCTTAGATCATGCTAGACCAAATGTTCCAACTCCTACTTCGTCTAGTTCGCAATCATCTAAAAGAACTGCGGGCCGAAAAATACTTAGTTCTTGGACGGAGTTCAGGGGTTCTCAAGGTGATAATATTGGTGATACTTCACAACTAAATGAGCTTCAAGTTTGTTTGTCACAGGGACTTGAACCAGAGAATCCCGACGGCTCCTTTGATGTTTTGGAATGGTGAAAGGACAAAGAAAAACACTATCCGGTTCTTTCAAGGATGGCTCGAGATATTTTAAGTGTTCAAGCTTCAACAGTGGCATCGGAGAGCGCTTTCAGTCAAGCGAGACTTCAAATCGGTGATCATAGAGCGTCTATGAGAGAGATTTTGGAAAAATCAGTACTCTTCTAAGATTGGATCCGTTCGGAAAGAAGAAATTTTGGACTTGCTAAATCACAACTGGAGATAGACGAAGCTTATGAAGAAATGCTAGCGGAACTTGCGGAGGATGCTGCTTCGCCCTGAAGCGGTGATGAACAAGCTTCTTTTCCTCCACCACAAACGGAAATTCCTCTGAACCTTGAAGGATTTATGAAATTTGTTAGAGATAATATGTAGACTAATATGTAACTTGTATTTTGGCACATCTTCATTAGTTTTTCTTCCTTTTAATGGTGGTATTAGCACCTTGTTGTGCTCATTTCATTGAGGGGAGGAAGACTAAGAAAGATATTGCCTTTTTTTGTTAATATCGTAATAATAAAAATTATAAGGCATTTCCTTGAATATTTTTCTTTACAATTTTTTTGTGTTTAAATTTGAATTAGAAGATTTAAGTCACAATTATATAATATAATTTACAAGAAATTGCCTTAGATAAAAAAAAATTTTAAAAAATAGCCCGGAACATTTAGGCCCGTTTAGGCCCGTGGGCTCGGCCCATTTAGCCCGGGACCATGTGGGCTTAGGACCACAGTGGGCCGGTTCCACCCTCCAGGACCGTTAATCCCGGGACCGTTTGGTCCGGGACCGCTTGAGCCAGGCCCGCCAGAGCCCGAGACCGTTTGGCCCGACCCGTTTAGCCCATTTAGGCCCGGGACCGGACCACAATACAGCCTTACATAATATACTGGATTATGGAGCTCATGCATATAAACTTCCAACATATGATGTTGGAACTCCAGCACATTATAAAATTCCAACACATTATGTTGGAATCTCATATGTATAAAATTCGAACTCAAGCATATTATGTTGGAATTTTCTGGATTTTTAAGGTTATTTTTGTTCAAATTTTATCTTTACATAAAAATTGATTAAATTTCGATTAGTTTTGAATATGTGACTATTTTTTAATTATCAGTTATAAATTTATTTTCTCCCAAATATAGTCGTAGTGTATCAAATGAACGATTCGCACATGAAATCTGCACTTTCAGTTCATCTATCTATTATTAAAAGGAAAGAAGTTGGCATGATAATTTGCCAAGTGTCATGTGGAGAAATTGACATGTGTCATTCTTAGGACAAAATTCTATTATTAAAAGGAAAGAAGTTGGCATGATAATTTGCCAAGTGTCATGTGGAGAAATTGACATGTGTCATTCTTAGGACAAAATTAGTTGATATAGGTAATAATTAGTTACTTTATTTAAAATTTGATTTTAAAAAAGTAACTACTCCTTTAGGTGGTATTAAACGTGTAGAATAACTATAATTAAGGACAAATGCAATTACCAAAATCCCTTTTTCTTCACTGAACATACCGTGCTATTTGTAACCTCCCCAAGTGTTGGAAAAATTAGATGATTATGGAGAATAAAAGGTTTAGTTTGAGGCGTGTCAAAGACACTGTCCTTAAGGATATTTCGCCCACACCGAGATGAATAATATTAGGCGTATCCCCCAGGATTCAACAAGCTCTTCTAGTTATTATTAACAGGATAAATAAATAGTATTATCTAACCGTTGCACTGTCTCATTTGTAATTAATTCAGAGCTGTCTCTCTATAAGTTTCAGTTACAGCTTATCAGATATGTCGGCCATTCTAATAGTGTCTTAACACTGTCGATACAAAAATACTGGTTTTTTCTGGATTTTAATTAGAAAAATCCTACTTACGCGAAAAAATATACAGTTTAAATATTCCTTTCGGTCCATAATGAGTGATCAATTTGCTTTTTTATTTTGGTCCAAAATAAGTGTCCATTTATATAATCAAGAAAGAATTCAATTTATTTTTACAAGATTACTCTTATGTACATATCCCTAAAAAGTTTTCTTACTCCTCACATTAAGTAGGCGTTTGGACATAAGAATTGTAAAATTCGAAAAAATGGTGAAGTTTTTTTTCAAGTGAAATGATATTTTCAATTTAGAGTTGTGTTTGGACATAAATTTCAGTTTGGGTTGTTTTTGAAGTTTCGTGAGTGATTTGAGTGAAAAATTTGAAAAACAGTTTTTTGCAGTTTTTCAAATTTTCGAAAATTTCCAAAATGCATCTTCAAGTGGAAATTGAAAATTTTATGAACAAACGCTAATTTCGAAAAAAGTGAATTTTTTTTTTTTGGAAAAATCTTCCATCAAATTTTATGTCCAAACGAGCACTAAATATTTAATTAAGGGTAGTTTAGTCATACTAGGTATTTTTGTATAGAATTTAATATTTTCTTAGTAGGCGTGCCAAAAGCAAATTGATCACTTATTATGGACCGGAGGAAATCTTATTTATTAATTAAAAAAAAATGTTCGATCCAACTTGCACGGATTTTAATTATTACATTGAATACTTACTGCATCGTACACGCACAAATACTGAGTTTGCTGGTATTATATCTATTAAGGCTTAGATGAATGAAAAAAATTACCTAACATCTTTTGAAATAATTTGGATATTTAAATCTATATGTCTAGTACTTTTTACGAATTCAGACATCGATTTCTTTAATTTTTTAATTTATATTCATAAACTACTACATATAATCACTTTTTTACAGTTAAAATGTTTGAAAAAAATCATAGAAAAAAACTTTTTTACTCGTAAAATAGTACAAATAATATTGTTTTTTTTTAAATTGGGAGAGTACAAAACTATGTAAATATAAACATAGGTAAGGTAGAGAAATGAGGCCAAACGGTATTCTTGATTTGTGCAGAATATTCGTCCTCGTGCATTGCATATTGGACAGCGTGCGTAACTGTGTCAAAACTGGCTATTTTCTTGAAATTCCATGAAATTTAATAATAATAAACCATAAGTTTAGATTTGCACACATCTAATACATTTATATATGATTAAAATTTGATACCAAATTCCCCCCACCCACTGGAAGGTAAGCTTTGTTTGATGTACCTAAAGACTCTTTAAAGATTTATTCCTAATGAATATAGGTAGGAAGATTAGGTGTCAATTAATACTCCCTCCGGTCCACAATAAGCTTTGTTTTTACTTTCAAGAACATTTAATACTAAGGCAAAATGGAAGAAATATAATATATTATACTTTGAATTTTTTTAAAATAACAACTACTTCCTCCGGTCTACTTTAATTACTTTTTTGATTGTTTTCACATATACTCCCTCCATTCACTTTTACTTGGCATGTATACTAAAAATAGATTTTCATTTTTACTTGTCACTTTACGCATATCAAGAGAAAACAAAAAAATATTCCTGTTATACCCACTGTATTTATTACTTATTTCAAATCATTTTCTCAAATCCAATAAAATATGCATCAATTAATATGAGTATCATGATAAATTATGCACTTCATTTATTATTTCTTAAGGGGAGTGAAAAGTCAAAGCGTGCCAAGTAAAAGTGAACAGAGGGAGTATTAAGGAATCCAACTTTTAACATTAATTAACAATGAAATTAACTATTCTTAATTTGTTCATTGAAAATATAACAAATACTCACGGCCTCTTTACTCCAAGGAAACTTCGGAAAAAAGAAGTTTATTCATTCTTGATATTTGACAAAATCAAATATTGTGGACCACAAGAAAAATATCAAAAAATCAATTAAAATGGACCGGAGGGAGTATTTTGGATCAAGTATATTTAGTAATCAGGACAACTAATATGGATCGGAGCAGGGCGGATCCATCCTATTACATGTGGGTTTCCGTGAACCCAGTAGCTTTTACATATACCCTGTATATGTATTAAGAATCCACTAAATATTCATAAATATTTGATTGTGAACCCAGTTGCTTATTGAATATTTACTTATGATCGTTATAGGAACCCACCATAAACTATAAATCTGGATCCGCCTCTGGATCGGAGGGAGTAAAAAGACATCTTTGAAGAAGAAATGACTTCAAATGGAAATATACATTTGTATCTTATTCTCATGCTTTAATGCCAATTAAACACCAATATTTATCTACTAGTGTATTTCTACTGTGAACTCCCGACAAACTATTGAAGTATTAATGAGCTCGTAAAAATTAAAATATAGTCGTTAGAAAATTAAATTCTGAAGATGTAAAGAATCTATCTCCAGGCTGGATCATACAATATTTAATATGAATTTAAATACATGTGGAACAGTATCAGTTAACCTTCTTGATTATTTCCCATGTATGTACAAGAATTCATAAATAAATACCTCTACCCCAAACCCCACTCCACCAACTAGTGATGAATTCAATTACGGGTCGTGTAATTCCACAAGTAGGGTCTGAGGAAGGTAGTGTGTGTAACGTTACCCCTATTTTATAAAGATAGACAAACTGTTCCGATAAACCCTCGGCTCAGAAAAATCATAATCACAACATTATTGAAAAAAAATAGAAGTGGAGGTACCGTAAAAACCATGTATGAGCAGTGTGTTATAAAGACTTAAATATACATATCAAAAATTATATTCTTACTTCAAAATTCATGACGTTTAACTTCAAAATTCATGACGTTTAAATTCTGAATTTGCCTTCACCACCAACTCAACCCCAATCTCATTCACTCAAAAATTTCAAAGCCTATAAAATCAAAACACTCAAAAACTTTGACTCAGATTCTCTAGACCATTATCTACAAATTTGCAAACACCATTATTTCTTATCACTATCTCTAAAAATGAAAGGAGTCGATATATTCTGTGCAACCCAAGCTGCAACTTCCATATGTCTAAGCATGCAAGAAGCCTCATCTTCTTCTTCTTCTGTAATCCAATTAGGCGGCGACAGCATTTCTATCTGCCGCCTAATTGACCGTTACAATCCCATCATTAGAGATTCCAGAATAACATGTGGCAGTGGCCGCAACAGGCCACTGCCACCTCATTCTTCTAATCAACTACCCATTTCTCCAAAACCAAAGAATATTAACAAGAAAAGTAATACATCTTCAAAACCATCAAAAGAAACCAAGAAAAGGCAAAATGATCATAACGGTCATGTTGGTAAGAGAAAAAGTAGTTGGAGTTGTACAAAACCTAGTGAATTTATCACCCCACCTAGTTCTTCAAGGTATCTTTTGAGTGAAAAAGATTTGGTTGATGTTTTATCTGATTATAATCATGATCCAGTTTTGAATTCCAAATCTTGTCATCAAGCTGTGAAAGTAGTGGCAAATGAGTCTTCTCCTCCAAAGCCACCATCTTCTTCTTCTCCCTCTGGGGACCAGGTTTTATTCTCCCTCTTCTTCTTCTTTCATAAAATAGAGTTTTATTTTCTTTAACTTTATTTTTAATTTAAAATTGAGTTTAATTTGTATAAACTGATTCTGTAATCTTTATACTATCAAGTTAAATGAAAGATAGGTACATGTATTCGTCTATCGTTAAATATTATTGGAATCTCCAATGTGACCAACCCGTAATTGTTCTAGATTAGGGTCATGGTGGAGGAATAAGTTATCCTGGGAGTATAATAACGGGATTATAGTATGAGAATTAAAAAGTAATATAATTATTTAATGAATATATTTTTATTGATAGATATTTGGTTCATTAGACTAAAATAAGATATATAAGAAATAATATAAAATATGTGTTAGGTGTATACTAGATAAGTTGAGATAAACTTTTATTTTCAATTTTAACCTTGAATTTTTTAAAGAACATTGGTGAAAGAACCTTGAAAAACTATACTGCAGTATTTTATCTCGGATTAAGTAATTCCGGAAATACTATCCCACCCTTAATGTGAGATAGAATAATACCAAAATTGTAGTATAAATTAGTCTCGGCATTTATCCCAATTAATCGGAATAGAATAATTTTGCATCTAATCTCGGGATTTTTATCCCTTATCCCACTAACTAAACGAATACCTATCCCATCTCCTATATGGAATAGATAATTCCATGATTGCGCCATAAAAGCTTTCCTTGTTTTACTATTGAGTTAATATTTTATGCCCTTCCTTTTTATGTGAGGAAATTTGTAGTTGTAACAAACTAACAAGTATATATCATAAAGACAACATATTTAGTTGTAATGAATATTTGGTAGCAGGTGGTTGTTCTAAGAGTTTCACTGCACTGCAAAGGATGTGAGAAGAAGATGAGGAAACATCTCTCTAGAATGGAAGGTATATATCGCTCTGGACTTAATTTTGTGACAATCTTTCCTTTTTGTAGTTTAACCTATAAGTTTATTTCGGAAAAGGATCAAAATTATCCCTGGACTATGTGTTATGTAACACATTTGCCTTCCGTTTAATAAGACCAATAAGACTAATTAAATCAAGATTAATTTTAAAGTGAGAGCCGTTAGCAAGGCATTTTTAGGCCTTTTCATTTACGGGAAGGACATACACAGGACAAATGTCTTCTATAACGCATATAGTTCAGGGACAATTTTGACTCTTTTCCGAATTTATTTTTCTTTGTTTTGATAAGTTTCCTTATGGGTTTTGTGCTAAATAAGCCGTCTAAGTACTTAATGGAGTCTGAATCTTAATCATTCAGATCTCATACCTTAAGTGCGTTTGTTTTTAAAGTCTAAATCTTAATTATTCAGATCTAAATCATTAAGTGTGTTTATTTTTCTTTTTAATTCACAACCACTTAATGGGCCTGAATAGGTCTATATGATTAAGATCCATAGCAGAGACTTAATTTTATTAAGATGCTATCATCCGTATTCATTATTAGTTGTTGCCACAACCTACAATTATCAACTACCACCATGCCACCACCACCACCACCATACTCAACCTCCATCACCACCATCATCCACAATCATAACCCTCATCATTATCGACTACCACCACCCGCCATCCGCACCACTCCCACCATTATCATTGTCAACCACAAACACTCATCCACCTCAACTACCACAACTAACCACCCCATCGCCATCAACAATCATAACAGGCACTACCCATTATTATAAGCTACCACCACCACCTTCCTCAATCATAATTAACTATCACCACTCACCACTACCATCCTCAATCATAATCGCTGCCACTACTAATCACCACTAGCTACTACCACCACCATCAACCAAATCTACCACCAACCACAGTCTCTAGTCGGCATTCACAAGCACCATCGTTAGCCATCACCACCAGCAACTACTATATTTTAAAATATATTTTTTTATGATAGAATATTAGATTAATTACTATTTTATTTGAATTTTATGTTTATTAATTTCCAAATAAAGATAGATTTTATACATTCAAATCTTGAAAATCGAACCGTCTTAATCATTTAGTATTTAGATCTTAATACACATCTTAATATTTAGATGTGTAATCAGATTTAGATGTCTTAATCTTAATACGCATCTTGATATTCACATTTAGACGTCTTAATCTTAAAAAAAAAAAACAAAAAACAAATGAGGCCTAAATTGGCCCAATCTTTAGATGGACTAACTTGAGTTGTACCGAATTGACCTATCAATTAATATATGTCAAGCCTAACTTTACCCAAATGTGGGCATGTAAGGCGAGTTATATTTTATATTTTATGGGTTAATGTTGTATGCAGTCTTACTTTGCATTTCTGCAAGAAGCTTTTTCTACGGTTTGAACCTGTGGCCTCCTGGTCACATCACAACAACTTTACCAGTTACGCCGAGGCTCCCCTTGACGCCACTATTCCTATCGCAAATAATTTTCACATTAACTTATGCATAACATGTAACAAAAGTAGAGGTCGAGTATTATCTAAAAAATTTAATTGTGATGAGCAGGGGTGACATCTTTCACCATAGACTTTGTTGCAAAGAAGGTAACAGTTACTGGGAATGTGACACCATTGGAGGTTCTTGCAAGTATTTCTAAGGTGAAAAATGCACAACTTTGGCCACCTACAGTGGCATCTTCAGTCCCTTCAACAAAAGCTGATTTGATCAACTCTGAATTGAAGAATGCAAAGCAGCTGGTTGTGTCTGATAGGAAATTAGAAAATCATTCTCAAAATCCACCAGTTATTCAGCTATTGTAAATTGAATTTTTATGTTATTAGACAAAAGAGAAGTTTAGCTTGGTTTTGCTTTCTTGTCTTATGGTTTTAATTTCTGGTATTAGTAAGCTTTTATTCTTGAGATAAACATTAATTTGGTACCTAGTAAGTGATTTCTTTAGCAATCAAGTTTAAAGAAAGATTACTCCCTAGTTCCTAACATGGACTAATAGCCGATCGAATGCTAAACTGAAAAATGTGTGCTCTCAACATCCAGGATTTTAAGAGTATATATGAGTGCACAGTGCCCCCACTAAGTTCACATTGTAATAGTGATACTACTTTTTGTATATTTACTCGTTTAAACACGTTTTGAGTAACTCATTAATAACACTGCTTCTCGTCATGGATTACAGGTATTCAAAGAAATGACATGTAAACACAAATGTTCCACATGATAATAGTGATACTACTTTTTGTGCTTTGGTTAATCATAGCGGCTAGGGGTGTATATAGGTTGGGTTGATTCAGATTTTTCAATTACCAAACCAAATCGATAGGATCGGGTTTTTAAATCTTAAACCAAACCAAACCAAACCAACAAAGTTGGGTTTTTGAATCTCGGTTTTCTCGGTTTTTTCAGGTTTTCTGGTTTTTTTCCGATAAAATCTTCATAGCACAAAATGTGTAACTTGTGCTCCAAATATTTCTCTAGTCCTAATAAGATATAACTATACAATGTATTTTCCAAGAAAATAATACAATAATATGAGATAAGTCATAGCATTATACTAAAATATTCAATAACAAAGATAATAAAATTGCATAAAGCAAATATTGCTAATAAATAAGTCATAAAATTAACTTAATCTAAAAATACTATATAGGTCATGCTAAAATAAATATAGCTAATAAGTTGTCACGACCCAAAATCCATCAGTCGTGATGGCACATAACCCAACCCGCTAGGTAAGCCAACTAATAACTATCCAATTCCATCAATATTAAATAAACAATTAAACATAGGAGTTATTTAAATCTTATACAATTCCCAAGGACTGGTAGTACAAATCATGAGCTTCTAAGAATAGAGTTTACAAAGCTGATATGAAGTAAATACATCTTCTATTTGAAAAGTACATAAACAGAGTTTAATAAATCTACGACGACCATGAACAAGAGGCAGCCACAGCCGAAATGCAGGAACTTCTTCCAAATCCAACAACCATCGAACGCAGCAACATCGACATCCGGAATCTGCACGCAATGTGCAGGAAGCGCAGTATGAGTATAACCGACCCCATGTACTCAATAAGTAACAAACCTAAACTTAGGTTGAAAGCAGTGACGAGCTAGAACATGGTCGGGTCCAACACCAGAAGCCAACAACAATTCATAACCACAGAGAGCATATAATCAAGAAAGTAACTCAGAGATAAAATGCTCAGCTTTCTCACATTTTTTTCAAAAATAGTCCCGCTTTTCAAGAATATCGTGAAAACCCAAATTCTTTACGGAAAACGTCGTGAAATATGAGATAGTTTGAAAAACTGTATTTCTTTATCAAAAATCATTTTCACAATAAATAAAATATTTCATTTTCTTTCCAGATAGCAAGTGTGAGATACTTATCTATGACCACATATCAATTTGTGTAAAATGCCATGAATGACGTGATACTGTACAGCATGAGGAAAATGCGTCTCTATGCATGTATGTCACATATGCATGCCAATGCCATGTATCTCAGAGATGAATCATGTACTCACATTCTCAGAATACTCAACCTCACTGTACCACACTTTCCACTCATCATACTCAATCACTCGGTACTCTATATGGCCCATACGACCCAGGAAAATCCATCCCGGAACATATACAACACTGACTATAGGTCACCCAGTACCGAGAAAACAGGCCAAATCCAGCCTCATGGAGAAGATCCATCTCCAGGTATCAAGTACTTCGGGCAAATATATGTCCAAGGAAATCCTTCCATCCATAGTATATAAATATGCTCAACTACTCGGTACTGTATATGCCCATGCGGCCCAAGGAAGATCTATCCCGAAATATATATATCATTGACCATCAGTCTCCAGTACCGAGGAAACATGCCAATCCAGCCTCATGGAGAAGATCCATCTCCATACCAAGGGAAGATCCATCCCTCAATATAATCAATCGCGCCCACTGTGGGTGTGCAGACTCCGGAGGGGCTCCTACGGCCCAAGCGCTATAACAAGCCAATCATGGCATAAATCAATCAGCCCCTCGGCCTTACTCAATACTCAATAAAACATGCTGCGGCGTGCAGTCCGATCCCATAATTGTCACTCATAATCAGGCTCTCGGCCTCACTCAGTCATCCAGTCTCACCCATGGGCTCACAATATCATGAAAACTGACCCGGAACAATGATATGATGTATCAATAAGTAACAACTGAGACTGAGATATGATATGAATGCATGAATGTGACTAAGTACGAAATATCAATGAATTCAATAAGATGACAGCAAGAAACGACTATTATGGATCCCAACAATATCAGCATAAAGCCTAAACATGATATCTAGCATGGTGTACAACTCATTTATTTTATCACATGGTGAAAACACAGATATCAATCAAATAGGGCCACTATTCAGTGCCCTGGAAACAACAGAGTCACAACTCATAGGGTGCACGCCCACACGCCCGTCACCTAGCATGTGCGTCACCTCAACATCAATCACATAGCACGTAAGTTCGGGTTTCATACCCTCAGCACTAAGTTTAAAAGAGTTACTTATCTTAAACAAGCCAACTCCGACACCGAACAAGCCAAGCGATACTCCAAGAATGCCATCACGCGCGTAGCGACCTTCGAACGACTCAACACTAGCCAAAAGCAACTCAAATACATCAGATAAAGCCCAATGAATCAATTACAAATGATAAGGATCGAATCCTAAGTTAAATCCCAAATATATGCTTTTATTGTTAATGATATAATATCCACTTTTAAACTGAAAGTTATCAATAATATTTAATTTTTCCTATATATTACAACAATTAAACAAAAAGAGAATACTAAACCAAGTTAGTTACAAAATGAACGCACGATGCAAATAAATGCACATTTGGGGGGAAGATTGTTGCGGATATAGTGGGATTGTATAAAATAAAAATAAAACTACCCAAAATGAGTAGTAGAAAACTGCTAGAGTTTTTGACTTTGTAGTAATTGGATAAAATTAAAGATCCGATCCGTTCTTTACTGCGAAGTTGTTGTCATGAGTTGAAAGAATTTAAAGATAAATATCAACCCAAAGAATTTTTATAAAAACAAACTTCCCTTTTTTTTTCCGTCTTCATAAATCAAGAATGAACAATCTCTCTTTGTCATCTTTGAAAAAACTTGACCATGAAGATGAACTTCTTCTTACTCTTTCACTTTCACCTACAACACCGATGGATAGTACTGCTCCACCCTTTTCATTGCCTTTAAACTTTGTTATACCACCGCCTCCGCCATCGCCACCGCCACCTCCTACTCTTCTATATGATAGTAACGTCAATATAGAAGAAAACATTGCAGAATCAAATGTAACCCTAGTTTATGATCAGGTGAATGAACCATCAGGAGCTCGTATGAGAGTTGGTTTAACAGCACGAACGCGAAGAAAATCTACACCATCTCTTAAAGAAGGAGAGAGTGAAACAATCACTCCACCATATCCTTGGGCAACTTCGAAACGTGCCATAGTACACACTCTCGATTATCTTATATCGAATGGTATTACTGTTATATCGGGTGAAGTTCAATGCAAGAAATGCGAACAACAATATCAAATACAATACGATTTGCAAGAAAAATTCAAAGAGATAGCTACATTCATATTAAAAACTAAGAGTGTTATGCGTGATAGGGCACCTATTATTTGGATGAACCCTAATCTTCCAAATTGCAAATATTGCAACCAAAACAATTGTGTTAAGCCAATTATATCCGAGAGAAGGTCGTCAATAAATTGGCTATTTTTGCTATTAGGGAAAATGATTGGATGTTGCAAACTTGATGCATTGAAATATTTTTGTATGCATACAAAGAATCATAGAACAGGTGCTAAAGATCGACTTGTTTATCTTACATATTTGGAGCTATGTAAGCAATTGGATCCAGAAGGACCCTTTGATCGATAAATAATGTTTCTTTTTTTATTCTTTAATTTAGTTGTGCATTATTATTTTAGAATGTCGTTTTAGCGTTATATGTTTTTTTGTGTAGTATGTGTAATAATGAGAAAAAAGTTTTATTTGCACTTGGAATGTGAGTTTCACATGTGTAAGAAGGGGAAATTATGGAAAAAATATTGCAAGTTATGTCAATATATATGGTGGTTTATGATTTGTTGAATTGTCATTCTTGTATATTGTCTCTTTTAGAGGACGAATCTATAATCTAGAGTCAGATGAATATATCCTTCTTCTACGATGATTTAGTTGAATAGTAGAACTTTTGAGACTAGTTTGATTTGATTTCATTGAAAATGTGTTTCAGTTTTCAAGTGAAAAAATATTTTTCTACTCATAAAATTGCAACTTTTTTTCCAAGTTAAATGCGTGTCCAAGTGTAACTGTATATTTTTTTTTTCCAACTAAACTCAAATACTAGATTGTTTCAAATACTAGACTTTTTTTTTAATGTCAAAACGATGTAAAATGAACAAGTCTATAACATTTGTTATGTTACGCAGCGCCTTCCTGAGATTTCTTGGAAGGGCGATGTAAGGCTAAGCAACCGATGTCCGTGAGATTTCTATCCGCCAACTGGGGTCCCCTTCTGTTTACCCTCGAATCCGGATAACAATTGAATTTATATGGGGTTTTAAGGATCCGTGAACTAAAAGATACAAAAGGTTTTTAGGTTAAGGAAAATAAAGATAAAGACTCAACAATTGCTGTTAAAGTAAATAATCGCAGAATATAATATTGCTTAGAACAATTGTGCTTGATGATCCACAAGAATTTAGAGAGATCCCCTTTTATACATTCTGATTAAGGGTAAAAATAAGGTAGGTCAATTGATTACATCGTGGATCCCTGTAATTACGCCTTAATGGCCTGAAGTGGTTGAGAAAATCACGTTTGGGCGAGATATCCGGCGACGCTTGGTTATCCGTTATGAGTCCGGCTTCCAACCTTGTGTGTTTCTCCATCCGGTGGTGACTCCTATCGAGCTCTGTAACGGTCTCGAAATGACTCGACCTCGGTTGTAGACGTGGCCGTCGTTCTACCTTGCATCCAGGTCGGGTTCGATGGCCCCGATTTGCTCCGGACCGGACCCAACCCGGTCGGGCTCAAGCAAAAAAGGGTATCACCTAATACAGATAGTCCCCTCGTTTATTAGAGAGTAATGATAATAAACGATATGACCGGTGACGTGATGCCCGTGACGTATGGCCATACGCCAGGTGAAAAAGCCATCGAGTGCTCTGACCACGCCTGCTGCAGGCATTTAATGCTTCTCTTAATTATCTGTCGCTTCGTGTCTGTGGCTTCGCGATTCGTGCCACCGCCTCATGGAAAAAGTATAAACGACCCTTCCAGGTTCAACATTTCCTATCTTTCTCAAATTCTGCGTTGGTTGTATTTTCTTTTCATCTCTTCGTAAAGCTTTAAGAAATGGCGAAAACTTCACAAAGTGTTCCTTCTAGACCAAGCTCGGCCGCGAGCCCCGCTAGATCTGATGAACATGCACCAGAACCCCCATTGAAAGCATTCACACCGACTGGTTGCTCGGTATCTGCCGACTTCCAGGTTGAAAACCCATCATCGGTCCCGGGCCG